GGGTAGAGATTGGGAAAGCCATAACTTGCAAATTCACCAGAACTTCTACTCAGCTCTATTTCGTCATCATTGAGACAAGAATCTCCATCAGGAATGGAGCTGACAGCCTCAAAGGTGGCAACAAATCCACCTTTCTTGAATAGTGCAGAGATAAGTAGATTGTGTCCTGATGAGTATACCACCTGATCACTTCTGTATTGATTATTACAGAACTTTTCTAAGAATGTCTGTTTGCCATTTGTCACTTCAGAAACATTTGCATAGTTCTTCTCACATCCAGAGGCTCTGAAACTCCAAAATGTCAGCTTGATAAACTTTCCACCAGAAACTGTGATGTTCCAAACACAAGCAGCTCCTTTGCCCAAGTACATAGGAAATTTCGGAGTAAAAAAACTCATCCCTTCACCTGTCAGGTGCACTGTGGTATTTTTTTCAGGGTTGCATTTTCCATGTGAAACTTAAAAAAAGCAGAAAGAAAGGACATGTTACAAAATAATCTAGCACCAATGCAACTCCTTAAGTTAAAATTTAACTCTTCATAGGCATCTAAAAGGAAATTCTCCCAACTAAAAAGAATCTATTTCTCCTTCAGCTTTTCCTTTAACTGGTTGTTATATTCAACAATATCCTCCTGTGTTGTAGCATACAATTTTCTTAACACTTTCACTCCCAGGATCTGATTTTTAATTCTCCCCTCTAGCTGCTTTTCAATCAGTTTGAGAATTTGGTGTTAGATCAATAATAACATCCTCTACATGATAAGTTTCAATATTCTCATCACCTGTTTGCTGAATGGTGTATGGATATTATAGGGAGAAGTTACTTCCCAATCACTTCTGGGAGTTAAAGGGTTAATTATCAAAACTTATGTTTTAGAAAACAGTAAAACTTAGTTAACAGTCCCTCCAAGAGTGTTGTAGCCTGCAGGGCAGTCATCTTATTGATGCCAGCTAATGTTATAAGCTCGCAATTGTTTATCTGACTGGCCATGTTTGATTTTGGAGTTAGAGTGGACAATGGGGGTAACCTTCATTTCCCTACCCCTACCCCTCTCCTTATTTTTGGCCATCAACTGCCCCCTAGCTACAAATTTCTTTCTCTCCCTAGCCTTCTGCTGCCATTAAAATCAAAGATGGTGGCCATAATTTCTGTTAAGAAAATACTGAACACTCGCTTGCCAAAATTATGCCTGCTCTGCAGGCTAAGAGTATTGAGGCTCAGTTGGTCCCCACAATGGAAGGGATACTGTCTCAAAATTCATTTTTAACATCGTATTTTACACTGAATCAAACCAGTCTAACAGTCTAACAAGCAAAAAGTGAATTGTATAGTATGCCAAACCAAGAATATCTTTGTCCCCACCTGCAGCAGGTACCATCTTGTAAGTTGCAGAAAATCCTGGACCAGTTTTTCCGCGATTTCCTGACACCTTTATCTCAAGCTGCCGTCCAGTTGAGAATATAGTGAATGTAGGCAAATAACCAGATCGCATTATTGAGCGGTAGGCACTCCAATTATCAACAGGATCTTTGATTTCCACTATATCATAATCATTCATTTGAAAACTCAGAAATGTCAAGCGAACCATTTTACCCTCTGGGGCTACTAACTTCCAGTGGCATTGGCTGATCACCTCATAAGAGTAACCATCTGGATACCCTGGGCTTTCAATGACTCCAGATGAACTTTGCAATAAAATGTTCATGTTTTGGTCACGAGAATTTGAAGAAGAACAAGACAGCCCTGTTAGAAGAGAAGAATTCACAATACTTAATAATAATAATAGTAATAATAATAATAACATCAAATGCAATTGACACTCCTTGAATTAGTCATTTCAGCAGTAATGCAAACTGATTTGAAACAAACATTAAATCAACAAAGCTTTTAAAAATAAATGCAGCCAAGGCACTGAAGTCGTGGATATCAATAAAATTAATTTAGTGTGTAGAATAGTGGAGGGCTTGAATGTAGGACCACCAGATTACAAGCCCAAGGCTGGCCTAACTTCTCAGCTCCACAGCCTTGTTATAGCAGTGTTAAGATCACAGATTTCAAGGGTAACTTTGATTGTGAACTGTTAACTTCAAGTAATATTTTTCACTTCAGGAGATTGGTTGTAAAAGTCAGTATTGACACAAGGTAAAAACCACAGTGCTAAGTTTATGTTTGGAGTTCACTCTCTCACATCACATTGTTTAGTTGGTTTTCCATGTCTTGTAGCTTGTAAAGACTTCTCAATTGGATTTCACTGAACTTTGGTAACAGTGCTAAAACTTATCAAAAGTAAATTGTGTTAATTGATTTTTGAATAAATTACCTTCAGTCACTGCTAATTTGCAGAGCAGCAAACAAAACACTGAAAAGAAAAAACATGACACAATGCACTTATTATTTCTCTAAAACTTGAGATGTCAACATGACTTGTGTTAGGTAAAGGTTAATCATTGCTTTGAAATATGGCCTCCAATAATTAAAGTGGCACTGAAAAAGCTCAAGGAATAGATTTGTAGATAATTCTCACTTCTACCATTACATATTTCCCTATAAATGAGTTTTGAGAATCTTACCTATTTCCAGTATAACTTTTTTTGTTTCAAAATGCTTTTTCTTTTAATAATTCTCATCTACCATCTGCTGGACAGTGTCTCAAATTACATGGGAGATTTTACAAATGTAACAATGAACGAAGTTCCAACAGTGTAAGAAAAACATCCAAGCCCAAGTCTATTAGTCACTTGCACCCCACAATCTAAGGTGAAGTTTCCCTTACAGCCATTGTTGATGAATATCATATTGAATCTTTATCATGAATATAAAACACCCAGCAAGCCTCTGTGAGGTATTAAAGAGGGTAACTTTCTAAAGAAATTGTGGTGCTGTGTTGGTAAAAGAGTATAACAGGTAATTTGATGTTGACAACTGAGTTGAAAAATTGACCACCGTAAATAGTTTAAAGGCTGATGTTTCAACTGTAAGCCCTTGGTCAGAACAATTGGAGGAATTGTGGGTTGTGTGTGGGTTTATACGTAGAAAATGGAGCTATGCTATTGGTGGGAATATAGTGACAAGAAAACAAGAATAAATTAGTTGAATGAAAATCGCTTATGGATACCATGGGGATTAAGAATACCGATTTAGAAAATAAATTTTTGCTCTAGTGTTTTTTGGCCTTCTGAACTGCCTAGATGTAGGGAGAGACCGCAAACTGCCATACGTTGTTTGGAATGATTTAGGGAGATTAAAGTGTCTAGCGACTGATTTGGATGTGTCCTCATC